TCCAACAGAGCCAGAAGATCCTTATTCTTGGACTCTTAATGTCGACAGATCATCCCGAAGAGAAGGAAGCGGTGCCGGCCTCATCCACACCTCTCTTGAGGGCAGCTTCTTCAAATGTGCCCTCCGTCTCTTGTTTGAAGCAAGCAACAATGAAGCCGAGTATAAGGCATTAATAGCAGGACTCCGCCTCGCCAAGGACATAGGGGTCAACCATCTCCGAGTTTTCAGCGACTCCCAACTCGTCGTCGGTCAGATGACGGGGGACTTTAATGCCAAGGATGACACGATGCGAGCTTAGAGAGACCTGGCACTCCCCCTTGCTCGCCTCTTCAATACCTTCCACATCAGGCACATTCCTCGGGCAGAAAACTCCAAAGCAGATGAGATGGCTCAGTTGGCCTCTGCTGATCATCCTACTCTCAGCCAGGATGTCCGCATTGAATATCTACACCACCCGGCCGTTTCACCCGATCTACAAGCTATACAATACATTCAAAATGAACCTATCCCTTGGGCATCCGACATCCTCCTATTCTTGACCACAGGAGTACTCCCAGATGACCAGCAGCAGGCTTCCAAAGTCCGATCCCGAGCGTCCAATTACGTCATTGTCGACGATATATTGTACAAACGCGGCTTCTCCCGGCCATATCTACGGTGCCTCAATCCAGCGCAAGCAACTTACGTAATGCAGGAGATCCATGAGGGGATTTGTGGTAATCACTCAGGAGGCAGGTCCCTTGCCCAGAAGATACTCCGTACTGGGTACTTTTGGCCAACTCTCAATCAGGATGCGACCGACTTCGTGCTTAAATGCGATAAATGTCAACGGTTCGCCAACATCCCTCACGCCCCTCCTACAAAGTTAATCACACTATGCAGCCCTTATCCGTTTGCCAAGTGGGGGATCAACCTGGTCGGTCCGCTTCCCACCGGTCGAGGTCAGACCAAGTTCGCAATCGTTGTCATTGATTACTTCACCAAGTGGGTCGAGGCTGAACCCCTTGCCACAATCACCGAGCGGAACACCACCAGGTTTATCTGGCAATCGATCATTTGCCGATTTGGCATCCCTCAAGCCATCATCTCTGACAATGGCAAACAATTCGATAACGCGAAGTACAGAAAATTTTGTGCAGATCTCCACATCCAACCGTGCTTCTCCTCCCCCGGTCACCCCCAAGCAAACGGCCAAGTTGAGGTCACCAACCGTTCCCTTCTGAAAATCATCAAAACCAAGCTCGAAGCTGCTAAAGGCCTTTGGGCTGAGGAACTGCCAAATGTACTCTGGGCTTACCGAACCACCGCTCGCACTCCCACTGGTGAAACCCCTTTTCGCTTAACATATGGCGCTGAGGCGGTTATTCCGGTAGAAGTCGGTTTGCCCACCCTTAGGATTTTACACCCGGATCTGGCCGCAGCCGAAGAACTCCACCGAACAGAATTGGACCTCATCGAAGAGCTCAGAGAGACCGCTGCTATCAGATCGGCTTCGTACCAGCAGAAAATGAGAACACACTACAACCGCCGAGTCCGACCACGAGAGTTCTCCGTAGGGGACCTCGTCTTACGAGAAGTGACTCTTGCTACAAAGAATCCAACCGGGGGTAAACTGGCAGCAAAATGGGAGGGGCCCTACGTTGTGAAGACCCGACCACGACCAGGCACTTACCGACTTCAAGACATGGAAGGCCGAGACCTGCCCCATCCCTGGAATGCGGAACATTTGAAGCGTTACTATCAATAATTCGTACTTTTGTATTGACAGTATCGTTGTATTTCCCTTTCTATACATAATGCAAACTCCGCCTGGTGATTTCGGTTTTCATAATTCAACTGTCTCTATGTCGCTCCCATAACTTTTTCACTTGCAGCACTTCAAAAGCCTCGGCCAGACCGAGCACTTCAAAGTCTCCGCCAGACCGAGCACTTAAAAGCCTCGGCCAGACCAAGCACTTCAAAAGCCTCGGCCAGACCGAGCACTTCAAAGCCTCCGCCAGACGGAACATTTAAAAGCCTCGGCCAGACCAAGCACTTCAAAAGCCTCGGCCAGACCGAGCACTTCAAAGCCTCCGCCAGACGGAGCACTTAAAAGCCTCGGCCAGACCGAGCACTTCAAAGCCTTCGCCAGACGGAGCACTTAAAAGCCTCGGCCAGACCGAGCACTTCAAAAGCCTCGGCTGACCGAGCACTTCAGAAGCCTCAGCCAGACTGAGCACTCCAAAGCCTCGGCAGACCGAGCACTTCAAAGGCCTCAGCCAGACCGAGCATTTCAACAGCCTCAGCCTGACTGAGCACTTCAACACCAAGCAGCACCACATTTTCAACACTTAGTCACATTTTGAAGCTTCTTCACAGTTCCAGGACCACGTCTTTACCTACTTAAATCCTCCACATACTCTCACGTATTACATTTACTGATCAGATTATTCGCCAACTATTTTGTTACAATTTACAACCTGCCTCTTACTCCAATTTTTCCATTATCTTTTCAACTTTCATACAACTCTAATCGCATTGTTTTTATTGACAATATTTTATGACCAGTTTTAACTCTCACATTGGCTAATTTATGACCAATTTTTATTGACAATATTTTCATACAACTCCAGTTTTAACTCTCAATTTTTTAACTTGTATAACTCTCACGTTGCACAATATTTTTATTGGCCCAATCTTTATGACCAATTTTAATTACAACATTTCATTCATGCTGGCAACATAAGCAAAATACACAAAATTCAACTGGCTATACATTCATCCATTACAATTAAATAATCTTTGTACACAACTTCATTACAGTTAAATTCTCCATACCTTCATTCATTCACTCCTTTACAATGTGTTTACAAGTTAAAAAAAAAAAAAAAAAACAAACAAACACAGAGCACGCCCAGTTTTTCTTCTCCTTGGCTACTCCTCCTCGCTAGATGCCAGATCCTCTTCTTCAACGCCTTCGTCCAGGGGGGTCTGGGCCACATCATCTTCGCCTATTGCCACACTACTAAGGTCCAAGTGTGGGAACAGCTCTTCAGCTCTGCGCTTGAACATTTTCCAACCGCTGTCCCAGAACTCGGCCATTTCGTGCTTATAGAAGTCTAACTGCTGGAACCTTTCAATCACCTCTGCCTCTGTCCTACCTCCAGCAGTCTTCCTTGATGGGCCCACCCCCCCAGACTCCTGACCTACCAGACTCCTGGTGACAGCAGCATCCACCACCATCTGAAATTCGGGGGACCCTTTATATTGCTCTACTGCTGCGACGCATAGATCAGGGTAGGCCGCCTTTTCAGACGCCGCCTTCGCCCTCTCCTCGTCCAGCTCCCTTTGCAGGGCCCCTCTTTCAGCAGCCGTCGTCGCCCTCTCCTCTTCCACCCCCTTCCTCAGACTCTCCAGCTCCACCGCCGCCTTCGCCTTCTCCACCTCCCACTCCCTCAGAAGCCTCCCCTTCTCCTCCTCTGCTCTGGCACGCTCCTCCCCCAACTCCTTCAACAGATCTCCAATTCTGAAGTCCGCTTCATCCTTTTGCCTGACCAGCTCTTCATTGCTGGTCATGGCCTCTTCATGCCGCTCGATTGCCACAGCGCAGGCCCTCTCAGCCTCTTCCAACTTTTTCTGTTCACCAGCCAGTTGGAACTCCAGTGACACAACCTTACGGCGTGTGTCCTCCAGTTCCAACTTGACTGCTGGCAGATCGGCATGGGCAGTCTTCCAGTCGGCACTATCCTTCCTTCATTTGGCCAACTGGGCCCTGGCCTCCTCAGCCTTCAACTTGGCAGCCCCAGCCTTCCTAAGAAGGGCCCCCGCCAAGGTAGTTACCTCCATTTGGGCGGAGCATAACCCCCTCAGCAGGTCGGCCTCATTATACCCAGATGCCGCGCGCAGAGCTCCCTCCTCCACAATCTTCACCAGGCGGTCTGCCCCCGCCCTGGCTGGGCCTTCTTCTCCCTCCAACCTTCCAGCCACCGCGCACGCATGATAAATCGTCGTAGCCAGACGAACCCCTCCTTCCTGGGGGTCAGGCCTCTTCTGGACCTGTTCCCCTCCGCTCGGCGCCGCCTCACTCACCCCAGCCTCCACTTGCACTGGTGGAGCAATCTCCACAACCTCCACCATCGGGATGATCTCCACCACCTCTGGGGCGTCCTTTGCCACAGGGACCTCCATCTCCGTTGGGGCCACTTTCGCCCTCTTGGCCCCAGACTCCTCTGCAGCTTCCTTTGGGGCACTCCTCTTCTTCTTCTTCTCCTTTTTCAGAGGCTCCACCCCCTTTCTGGCCTCTTCTTTTACAGGGTCTACAGGCGGCGGCCGCGGCTCAAAGCTGCTTAAGTCTTTTTCCCCCAACGGCCTGGGGCGCGGTCGGATCCTCTCCCGCGCGATCGGTTGAGGCGGTCGGTCCCTCTGCGCCTCCATCAACTTCGCGGCCTTGGCCATAACGGCTCGATCCTCTACCTCCTGCGCTCTTCTTCTCTCCTCCAACCCCTCCAGACCGAGGTCTCCAACTTTCGGCTGCGGTCCCAGCCCCGCCTCAAACAGTGCAGACGGCTGGACAAGATCGTCCCATTTGGCCTTCTCTCTCTCTCTCCACTCCTTCACTCTCTTCATCATCTCTTCCGCCACCGCCCCTAGTCTCGACTCCATCGACCGGGTTGGCACCTTCCAGATGGTGCGTACCCCCATCCCCCCATTAACTGCCACAAAGAACCACCGTGGCCGCCACCCCTTGATCGACGTAGGCAGCCCTGCTACCAATCCCCTCCCCATCACCGCCTGTAGGGTGACCCAAGTTTCTTGCTGCCCCGACGCCTTGTAACATGAGAAGAACTCGTCTACCGTCATGGCCTCCCCCCCATTCGCCTTAGGCCATACACTCGCACAGGCCAGCAGAATCTTCCACGCATTGGGCATCAATTGCCCCGGCGCTACCTCTAGGCGATTTAGCACGTCAACCACCACTTGAGGTAGTGGCAGCCTCAGCCCCCCTTTTAGCGCCTCCTCGTACAGGGAAAATTCCCCTGGCCTCACAGTAGACGGCCTTTCCCCTGATGTTGGCAGCCGTAACTGTACCTCCGCCGGAATCTGGTACCGTCCCCTAATCACCTCCAAATCCGCCGCCGTGAGTGTTGATCTATCCGGCTTAGTGGCTGTGGCGCCAATACCAGGACCGACGCCTGCGATTCTCCCACCGTTTCCCCCACCATTCGCACCTCTGTCCTGTATTGCGCTGCTAACTCCTCCCCATCATCATCCCCCAAAGGGTCCACCCTCACATTAACTCCTTCTTCTTGTGCCATTTCTAGGGTTTACTTGCAACTCACTTCTGACGCAGGAACGAGGAAGTTCTGAAAATACTAACACAGGTATGTCGTATGCAGT